CCATATTTTCTTTATCCATTTTTCAGTTGATGGACATTTGGGCTCTTTTCTGTAATTTGGTATTGTCGATAACACTGCTATAAACATTGGGGTGCATGTGCCCCTTTGAATCATCTTTTCTGCATCTAATCACTAAAATATTTTATGCTTGTCTTATATTAGAGGTGACATAGCTTGTAATTTAGAAATATTCTCATTTTATTCTTCTGTTCCTAATGCCATTTGGTTAAAATAAATGAATATGGAAAGTCATTTAGTCATTAAGTTAAAACCTATGATCAAAACTTAATTGTAAATGTAAATGTGATGCTATTATATATTTACACATGTTATAAAATGACTTATTTTTCTTTCTGTATAATTACAGAATAGATGTTCATATGTTGGTTGTGGTGAATCACAAGTAGATCACAGCACTATACATTCTCAGGTATGTATATGGAAAATTTTTTTGGTGTTTATTTACTTGCTTTGTAAGTTGTCATTTATTTATTTATTTATTTATTTATTTATTTATTTATTTATCTGTCTATTTGAGAGAGAGAGAGAAGAACGGAGGGAGGGAATGAGGGAGAAAGTGCTTCAGCAGGGGAGAGGCAGAGGGAAAGGGAAAGACAATCCCAAGCAGGCTCCACACCCAGCACTGAGCCCAATGCACAGGGGTCAGGGGCTCGATCTCACAACCGTGAGATCGTGACCTGAGCCAAAATCAGGAGTCAGACACTTAACTGACTGAGCCACCCAGGCATTCCTTAAGTTTTTATTTTAATTCCAGTTAGTTAACATATAGTATTATATTAGTTACAATATAGTGATTTAGCAATTCCATATATCACCTGGTGTATAGAAAATTTTTATGCAAGATATTTAAAAAAAATTTTTTTTAATGTTTATTTTTGAGAGAGACAGAGCGTGAGTGGGGGAGGGGCAGAGAGAGAGGGGAGATGCAGAATCCAAAGTAGGCTCCAGGCTTTGAGCTGTCAGCACAGCTCATGGACTGCGAGATCATGACCTGAGCTGAAGTCAGACGCTTAACTGACTGAGCCACCCAGGCACCCCTTTGCAAGATATTTTTTAAAGCGAGCCTGAAGGAAAGGGAAAGCAAGCAAATACAACATTATTAATTCAAGTTGTAATTCAAAATTTTCCCCTTTTTTATATAAGAGGAGTTAAACCTTTGCTTATACTTTCTAAAAGGTGGGGAGGGGAATTGCTAAGATTAATATTAGATTGAGATTGTAATTAAGAGAGTAATGATTTAAGAAATTTGCCTCCTGGTTTATGAAGATGATAGTTGGGATTTTAGGAGAATATGAAAATTGAAGTCAAGAGTGGATGCCTATGCCTATGATAGGGCCTGGGTAACTTTTAAGTCTCAACTCACCTTCTGCACATCTTACCTTCTGCACATCTTAATTGGAGTTCTCTTTCTACTTCACCCTGGTTGTTTGGTGCTTGTGTGTAATTCTGGTATGGTATGGTATGGTAGAGTAGTAGAACTTCTATTCTAAACTGTATGCTTCTTTTCTTTCTTTTTTTTTTTTTTAAACTATATGTTTCTTGAGCATGAACTGTCTTTTTCACATTGATGTCTCTGTAGCATTAATTGTTCTCAGTCAGGGTTCCTCAAGACAATTAATTAAGCCTGAATATTCCAAAGCCCTCAGGCATCATTGTACATAATTTACTTCTGTTTTGTGCATCTAGAATGGTAGTGCTGTGTACCATTCCTGTGAGAATTGAGAAAATAGTTACTAAGATAATTTTCTGTAGGCATAAATTCTCTCCATGAACTCTGATTGAGAAAGGCCAGAATTTTATGTATCCAAGATCATATATTCATATTGCTTGAGATGTTTTTTGCTTTGACTTACATCATTTGACTCATTCTTTTGAATAGTTACTATGATCTTTTAGAATAGTTACTATGCTTTGGTCAATTATTTTCTTGTATTATACTTATTTGCTAACTCCAAAGCAGAGTCTTAGTCTTATGTTTATTTTTATGCTGAACAGTGGTGAAAAATGACAATAGTATAATTTCTAGAATAGGTTTATATATTGTTACTATTCACTATACTTTAATAGTTTATCTAAAGAATATGTTTTTGGTGTTCAAGTTTTAACTCTTCTCTTTGGAATATATTGTTATTCATTAAAGGCCAGCAGTTTATCTTATATGATTTTTTTAAAGTGGTTTTTTTTTTGGTTTGTTTTTGTTTTTGTTTTAGTAATCTCTACACCCAGTGTGGGGGGTTGAACTTATGACCCCAAGATCAAGAGCCACATACTCTTCTTCCAACTGAGCCAGTTAGGCATCCCCTTATATGATCTTTTGAAATGTTTTCTACTATACCTAATTTTGGTTCCTCTTCTTCCTCCCCTATGAAATTGTATAGGAGACAAAGCATTATCTTACTGTGAACCTTACTACTCTTCGAGTATGGTGTTATGCTTGCAGCAAAGAAGTATTTTTGGATAGGAAATTAGGAACTCAGCCTTCTTTGCCTCATGTAAGACCACTTCACCAAACCCAAGAAAATAGTGTCCAGGTAATAATCAAACTTTATTTAATTAAAATATCGTATATTTTCAGGTATGATTTTAGAATTTGTCACGTAGTTGAAATGTATAACAACTCTACCTCACTTGTACTTTAAATATTTCTGTAATGTGCCTTTTTTCTTGATTGCAATACTGAGGCTAGCCTTTGCTCTTTTATAGAATGATATGTTATAGTAAGATTGAAGCTCACCTGTCTGAAGATGGAAAAGCATGTTTTGTGTTTTTAAAACTTAAAAACAAACTTCTTTTTTTAAAGTTTGTTTTGAGAGACATGTAGAGAGCACAGTGGTGGGGGGGGGGGTGCAGAGAGGGAGACAGAATACCAAGCAGGTTCCACTCTATCAGCATAGACCCCGATGTGGGACTCAAACTTCCAAACTGAGATCATGACCTGAGCTGAAATCAAGAGTCAGCTGCTTAACCAACTGAGCCAGTCAGGCACCCTAACAAACTGTCTTTAAAAAGTGTATATTTTTCTAGCAATCTGATTCTAGGAGAGGGGGCAGGCCTTTTTTGATAGGAAATTACAAATACAAATTCAGCTCCCTTTTCCTCATTTCTCTCCCCTTTCTACCTCCATTAATATTACTAAGAACATTTTACTAATTTATCGAAAACCAAATAGGATATATTAAAGCTTAGCATTGATCTTTGGTTTCAAAATATGTGTAGGCTCGCAAAGATTAATCACTTAATTTTGAGTATTTTCTAGTTCTATAAAAATAGGGAAAAGGAAATGAAAATATTAGAAGAGTTGGCTTCTAACTTACTGTACTCATCATTTGCTCTGTATGGTTTAATTAACACATTAGTGAGGTTTTTTTCCCCCTCATGTATCAAAAAAATCACATTGTATTTCTATACTTGTCTTCCTTGATACCAACTTTTAACATTTTTCTATTATATCTTTGTGTCACATTCTGATAGTAGACATTTGTGTAAATAAATTTGCTTGTCTTACACATTATATAACTAAAATGAGTAGATTTTAGACAAGCTATATTTTTTTGTATTTCAAAGTTGAATGGCTGTAGTGGATAAATCACCAAACTACCATTACTATTTCTGCCACTGATATTATCATTCAGAAATGTGTTTTTTGTCTTGTTTTTTTTTTTTTTTTTTCAACGTTTATTTATTTTTGGGACAGAGAGAGACAGAGCATGAACGGGGGAGGGGCAGAGAGAGAGAGGGAGACAGAATCGGAAACAGGCTCCAGGCTCTGAGCCATCAGCCCAGAGCCTGACGCGGGGCTCGAACTCACGGACCGCGAGATCGTGACCTGGCTGAAGTCGGACGCTTAACCGACTGCGCCACCCAGGCGCCCCTTTTGTCTTGTTTTTAATGCCTTGATAATTTGAAAGTAAGTTTTCTGGAACACACTTGCATTATTAACAAAAATGTGGTAACTAAAAGTTTAATCACATAAGGAATTGATAACAGTTTATAAGGGTAATACTCAGGTGGTTGAAAGAATAAGTGCAGATAGTTCACAAAAAGGAAATACAAATAAAAACACATTGACAAAGTAACCATCACTGACTAAAGAAAACAGTTATCTGTTGCCATTTCTGCCAGATTTTGCAGAATGTTGAATGAACGTTGAATGTCTTAATGAATGTTGAATCTGATTGAATAAATATACTGATATTTTTCTGATAACTTGTAGATAATTCTCTGTGAGTTATATTTATAACACATAAAAGGCATGAATTTAATTTCATGCAACTTCCTGATCCCATTGTTGAATAAAATTACTCAGAAGAAAAAAGTTATTTGTACAATTTTTTAACATAAAATTTCTATGCTGTTGGAACATTAATTATAAAATAATAATATTGGAGACCAAATGTCATTAGTAAGATTTCTTAAATAAAAATTTTTTCTAGGAGGAAAAATTTTTTCTAGGAGGTAAAATTTTAAATGATTTTTTTTTTAATTTTTTTTTTTTTAACGTTTATTTATTTTTGAGACTGAGAGAGAGACAGAGCATGAACAGGGGAGGGGCAGAGAGAGAGGGAGACACAGAATCTGAAACGGGCTCCAGGCTCTGAGCTGTCAGCACAGAGCCCGACGCGGGGCTTGAACTCACAGACCATGAGATCATGACCTGAGCCGAAGTCAGACGCTTAACCGACTGAATCACCCAGGCGCCCCTTAAATGATTTTTTAAAAACCTCTATACTTAAATACAATTAAGTGAGAATATGGGGCCAGCTCAAATGTTCAGTATCTACAGATACCAGGAAAGTAAAATAAATGTATAAAGTGGGTAGGTAGAAAAGTGCATATGCATGCATTGTAGAGGTGGAATAAGGCCTGAATAAGTTGGAGAGTCAGAGCATATGCTAAGTGCATGCTGCTGTTCAGTTTCCTCCTTTAAGTGATAGTTGCTAAATGGGTTCAGTGTAGTTCAGTCTTCTATTAAAAGAGAACTTGCAGAATCTGATATTTCTATGAGCTCTCCTGATTTTTAAAATATTAGATCAAAGTTTTTCTTCTGTGTCTTTTTTTTTTTTTTTAAG